AGAGTAATTGTTGGGGCTGGCCCCGTGGCAGAGTGGTTAAGTTCACGCTCTCCGCTGCAGGCGGCCCAGTGTTTTGTTGGTTCAAACCCTGGGCGCGGACACAGCACTGCTCATCAAACCACACTGAGGCAGCGTCCTGCAAGCCACAACTAGAAGGACCCGCAATGAAGAATATACAGCTATGTACCTGGGGGCTTTGGGGAGAAAAAGGAAAAAAATAAAATCTTTTAAAAAAAAGCAATTGTTGCAATGAATGGGAGTAAACGAATGCCTCTATTATGTGGTGTCTCATTTGTGCTCCGGGAAAAACTGGGACTCCTTAAAAAGGTCAGCAGGAGTGTTCTTCCATTTGTCCTCCAGGTTCCCTTCCCCCCTCCTCTGTGCCTGTGGAAACTGACTTCTGTGAACTTTATCAATGGGCTTTCCTGCCTTCTAGTTTCTTCTTGGGTTTGGCCAATGGTGAGAATCTGCCAGAAGTCAAAGGCATCCTCATGAACTGGCTGAATCCCTCAACCAAAAGTCTTAGTTCCTATTAGGAAGCTCTCTGTCAATACAGTCATCTCTGCCTCTAGGTTCCAGTAACTGTGTTTCTGCCTCTTTGAGGTTTCTGGACCCTCAGGCCTAGAGATGGGAAAGGGGGACTGTTAGCGGTTCAGTTTCCGCACTGATTGTTGTGGTTTCCCAACACCAGATGCCTTTGTATCTCTCCCTTTATTGTTTTTGGGTGGACCATCTATTTTGTTTAGGGAGCCAGACAATAGCCCAAGACATATAAGATATAAATTGACCGTTTAAGTAGACAACTTTTCTCTTTGGAAGTTCCTGCTAGCATATAATTAAATACTCCACTTTCTACATTTACTCAATTTTTCAAGTTGGAAATCAGCAATTCATCTAGACTTTATGACCAATCCTCATTCCCCTTTCCATATTTATTTCAAATCTATCCTTCCCTCTCCATGCACACTGTTACCACCTCACTGTCCTTCATGCACAATAACAACGGCCTCAGTGCTGGTCTCCACTCTGAGAAATGAGCCCAACATAAGCAAAATGGCCCCAGGTCATGGGCTGTGTCCCCGCTCTGAACTCCTAAACTGGCTTGAACATACCCACATGGCTGAATCACTCCCTTTATAGTCCTTGCTTCCATTGTCCATTTTCCTACCTTCTTTGTCCTGCCAGTATCATCACCTGTTTACTGACTATCTCTGTTCTCAATGCATCCACTTTGCTTCCTAGCATCACATTTCATTCTCTCTTCTGGAATGCTGCTTCCTTGGGTTAATATATCACTAACAAATACCCTTTCCTCCCCCCACCCCCAAAATAAACCTAACCATTCAACATCTGTCATCTGGGAAGCTGAGAAGTGCTAGAGAAAAAAAATCACACCAGGGCATAAGAGTATCAGTACAACCCTATAGTAAAGAACCTCAACTGTATGCTCTCTCATTCTCCAGAATAACTGTTTTAAATCTTCAATCTCACCTTATACTTTATAGCGATGATAGAAGTCATCAGATGAGGGTTTGGTAAACTGTTTGCCATGCTGCCTGCAAATTTCACTACTCGTCTCTCGCTCATCATCTTCTAAGATCCTGTGCTCGAGTCCAGCTCCTTCTGCCTTCCCCAAGACCTTGAACTATTATCTTTTTTCTCTCCTCTGTCTTTAACCTCTTCCTCTCTACAGGATCTCTCATAGTATACCTTCAAAATAAATGAAAAATAAATAAATTCTGTCTCCATCCAATCTCTCCTTCCAGCCACTGCTTAACTTTCTCCTCTCCTTCATAGTCACTCTTTTTGAGAGAATCACATGCATGTACTGTCTCCATTTTCTCACCTCCTATTCACTCTTCAATCTATCTATACTACTCTGGTTTCATCTCATTCCCCACTATTCCCTGAGACTACCCTTTACCATGGTCATAAATTACTTCTATGTTGCTAAATTCAGTGGAAATCTTTCAGTTCCTCCTTACTTGACTTCTCGGTAGCATTCAACATACTCCTGGAAAGCGTGCTCTCCTTTTGGAAATGCTCCCTTCCCTTCCCTTCACCTTTGTGTCACTCTACTTTATCAATATTTTTTTCTGTCTCACTAGCTGCTACTTGTCAATCTCTTTTTCTAACTTTTTGTTGTTCACTGACTTTTCAAGGCTGGGGTGTTTCATGGCTCAGTTCTAGAGTTTCCTTTCCTTCTATGCTCTATACTTAGCATATCTGATTCACTTTTATAGCTTTAATTGAAATCTGCATTCCCATGGCTTTTCACTGCTCTTAGAATGAAGTTCTTACTGAGACATACGAGATCCCGAATGATCTTCCCTACCTTCCTCTGTAGGTTTTACCCTCAGTTTCCATACTCCAACATGCTAATCTTCTTCATTTCCATCTCATCACCATGTTCCTTGATGTCCTGGGTCATTCCCACATCCTTCTCCCACTACCTGTTATAGTCCACTCCCAGACCTACCTAATTTGGCTGTCTGACTTTTATTTATGCTGCAGGGCTCTGCCTCAGGGGCATTTTCTCAGAGAAGCATTTCTTGAGCCCTCTGACTAGGCCAAGTTCATGTTTTATATAATTTCACAATACAATATATCTCTCCAGATTACAATTTAGTTGATTATTTATGTAATTGTTTAATATTCATTCCCTCACCAGACATTAAGCTACTTTGTTTATTGCTGAATGCCCAGAATACAGTAGGTATTCAATATAATTCATTCATTCATTGAACAAACATTTTCTTTGAAGAGTCTCTCTCAATTTTATAAGGTGTATGCCCCCTGCAAAATATTGATGCACCTTTAATTGCTATCCTAATATTTAATGGGAGAATTCATCCATTTTTTAAAAATATAACTCCAGAATATTTTTTTGACTCCCCAAGAGTTTTTCTAGAAAGAGCAATCCATTTCTGACCAACTGTCTGCTGACCATTGAGGCATAAAATTAAGTCATTGGCCTTTGTGATAATTAGAAGGGGCTCTTTGCCAAGTTTCACCAGATGTATGAGAGCATGGTGCAGTCCAGGAGCACTTAGTTGGTGATGTGCTGACTCCAGCAAGAATGGGGCTGCTCTTATCAGCTGCTGTGTGGCTGAATTATGGTGTCTAGTTCAAGATGTGACTCAGAATGGTGCTACTTGCTTTCTGAGCCTGCTTCCCAGGAGTCTTGGCCAGCTTGAGATGAAGAAGCAGAGAGACTACAGGTGGCAAAGCAGGCTTAATTGGTGGCTGGGTGTATTTTATTAAAGGGAAGAATGGCCATCAGCCCCATGGACTCTCCTCATGCCCAGAAGGAAGCCGAATAACTGGCTGGCATCCAGTTTCCACTCTCCGCGGCTGAATGAGCCTGCTATTGTAAGGAATAAATTTGCTTGTGTTATAGGATGGAAGGCCATGTCGTATCCAGGTTCCAAGAAACTGCTGCAAGGAGCATAATTGGCTGACAGCCTCCAGCTGCCACACTTTGGGATCTGCTGCAGTGTTTATGCCTAAGCCACACTCTCCACGCGCTTCTCTCAGCCAATGATTGATTCATTTTGAACCAGCGCTCTGTCTCAAATTCTGGCTTGATTTTTCCCTCAGTTGAGTTTTGTCTCCTCTTAGCTTTACACAGTACTGTTGTCACCTTCAGACTCAGGTCAAGATGGAATTTGAAGTAGGGGATAACTTCCTGGGGTCACTGCTCTAGAGAGTGCCGTTCCTGTTGGATTCCAAATGGGCACCATCAATACTTGTTCTATATTTTGGGGGAAATGGAAATGAGGATGGAGAGTGCTCCCTCACAAATCCTCCTCTTGGACGTTTGAATGAAGAGGCCCCCTGACTGGCACACCTTGGACTTCTTCACTGATGGTACTGATCCTGAGCTGAATTTGGCTCACAAATATGTAGTCACCAGATTTCCATAACTCTGTGCTTTACCTAGTGCTGCTTATGGGAATGGTAGGTAACCACACTGTTCATCCTGCTGATTCCTAAATTTCACGTTAAAAATGTGCTCATTCTGCTAATGTCTAAATTTCCCATGAAATATGTGGCATTCGCAGGATACTCTCAGAGCAGAAACCTGATCGAATCTATATCTCTTCTATTAAAATTAGAGTTATTTTGATTGCAATTTAAGGAATCAAACTCATATTAGCCAAGCCACCCAAAAAGGAATTTATTAATTTAAATAACAAGGAAGTCCACTGGATAGATCTGGCTTTGCACATTATTTCTTGTTAATGGCGCATGGCAACCTCCAACAGTTCTGGCTTACCTGGTCCTCACAGGTGGTGATCTGAGAAGGAAGAATTTATTTTGCATCAGGCCTAGTTATGCACCAGGGAGAACTTGGACTGGCCAGCTTGAGCCATAAGCCCATTTCCAACTCAATCACTATGGCTACATAGTGGAGGTATTCTATGTAGGAATTATTTGCAAAATACGTAAGAGATAAATGATAGATTATTTGCATCTAGAATATTTTTAAAAATCCTATAAATTAATAAGAAAAGAAAAAATGACCTAAAAGGAAAATAGACAAAAGCCAAAGAAAAGGAAAATAATTAACGAGTATATGAAAAATTCTCATTACCAATAGTATTCAGTGAAATAAGTGTAAATTAAAACAATGAAATGCTGTTTTTATTCTATTTAAATGTATTCAAAGGTAAGTGTTGATGCGAGTGTAGGAAAATGGGTTCTCTCATCATTACTGGGGATTAGTTAAATATACCATCATATATCCAGGATTTAGAAGACCATGTAGCCAACAGAAATAAGGAAGCAGTTCTGTATATATTAACTTAGAAAAGTGTCCAGGACATATTGCTCAGTGGGAAAAGGTGATTTGCGTAGTTTTGGGAGCCACGGAGGTGCACTTTCAGGAGAACCCGCTGCAAGGAGTATAACTGGCTGACGGCCCACAGTTGCTGACTCAGTGGACTCATGAGGCCATGAGATCACCACCAACACAACAGGAAAAAAATCTTCAAACAAGGCAGTAAATGCAATGATAGAGATGTGCACAATATATTACAGAAGTTCAGAGGAGGCAAGCCTAATGCAACCTTGGGAAGATATGGGATTTTTGGTCTGGGATGGCTCCCAGGAGGAGAAGATGATCAAGCTGAGATAGGTATTAATTGGGTGGAGAGGAGGGAAAAAGCATTCCAAGACAGCAGGACAGTATGAGCAATTCATGAGGTCGAGAAAACTGTAAACAGGAAACCTATAACAAGTTGTTAAATATTAAAATAAGAAGCAAATATTATAAAAGACAAGGCTAACGAGGTAGGCAGAGTCCAGCAAGGCCTCCTGTGTCATATCAGGGAGGTATGAATATGTTTTGATGTGATGGGAAGCCACTGAAGGCTTTTAAGCAGGACAGGCTATCTGAAAAGAGGTTAGAGGATGGTAACAGGAGGCTATCACTGTTATTTAGAAAAGATGAACTTCTGAAAAGGAGGTTGAGATAGCACGATACCAGCTGGAATCAAAGGAGGAGAGGAAAGCAAACAATATTGAGTTGATGCAATCTGTAGGAATTGGTAATGGATTAGATACGGGAGGTGGAGTGAGAGATGGGAGGAGTCACGATCACATACACCCAGGAAACTGGTTTGAGCGCAGAGAGGTGGTGAGCTGAATCCGAAGGTCACAAAAACTATACCTCAGGGAATATGGTGATGGTTGCAAGAGGCATCTGGTATTGTCCTTCTGCCACTGTCTTAAAAGGGATTCTAAAGGGATTTTCTTTCCCTTGTTCCTCCAGCCCTACACTTGCATTACTGGCCTAAGTGGATACTCACCAGCTGGCCGTGTCCATCATTACAGCCAAGTCTGAGAATTCCTGATTATACTTAGAGCCTGTGGAGCTGCTGACACAAACAGTCATTAGCAGTCGACCCTTTTGTAACAAACTATGCTTTAAAATGTAAACTGTGGGGGCATTTTCCTTGCATTGTCCAGAAGGAACTTTCTCCTGCCTGAGCCTGGATTAATCATGAGAGAGCTCGTCAACATTCCACTGGTACATATTCTTACTTTGGTTGCCTTCAGCGGGACTGAGAAACTTCCAAAAGGTTGGTTTGAGCAATCTTGTCTTCTTGTTGCCTTGTCATAGTTCTAAAGTGCATGTGTGTGCTCTGATCATGACCAATTCATATTATGGTGGGTTTGGGTTTTACTTGGTGAAATAGAAGTGCAATGTAAGGAGAGAGAGAAAACTGGATAAATAAGCAATTGGTTGATGGTCTCCTTTCTACTGGTATCCCTCCCTCCTATAAGTTTTGCACTAAAAAGTTTAGCCATAAAGTGCATGCACAGCCCTCACTTGTAGGGGAAACAGCAAGTAGACTGGAAGTTATCAAGGTCTGTATTGTTTACGTGTGTGTCAAACTTCAGGGTGGTCTCAATGGATGATGAAAACCTTTTCACATCAGGTTTGCCAGGAATATAATCAACCCTACTCCCAGACATCCAGAGCGTCTGCTTCTGAACAAAAATCATTTCCATTTTCAGTTTTAGTTTTACAAAACTCTTAGTAAATAGTTTAGTTCCTAAAAAAATCAAAATTGGAGAGAGATGCACAGAATTCGCCTATATAATAAAAGCCTGAAGACAATGGGTTCTTAATAACTTTGAAGCTGGCATCACGACTTGACTTGGCAAGGGACTGCAAAAGTTTTTTTCACTGCCTTTGGAATGTACCGGAAATAACACCACCTCGGGGGAAAGGAAAGCAACTTAAGAAACTGACAAACACCTGTCGCAGTAGCAAGAATGTCCACAGCGAAATGGTTTCTGGCCAGCGTATTATGAAACTGAGACTAGTGTATTTCAAATCAGGAAGAAAGACTGGAAAGTATGATGTGCAAAGTGACCGAGAGCTTCATTGAAATCTTTTTTAAAAAGACATGAGGAAATAGATTGAATGGTATCAATTAAAGTAAAGAATATCCAAGTTAAATATATTACAGTAGAGTAAAACGAGTTCCGTATTTGATGACATGCTTGAATTATTTTCCCTTTATATTACTTTACCAAAGAACTAAACACATTTGTATTGTGTAGATAAGTGAAGGTAGTGTCTGTATGTAGATGGGAAACATAGAAATTCAATAAAATTTCTGGAGTCACAAGGTTAAGATTCACATGCTGATACAGCCTTCTTCACACACAGTCTGATTTCATAGACTTATTTTGTTTTGTTTCTTTTTCCATTTACATGAGCAGAATGGTGTCTTCAAATGTATTTAAATGTCTAATTCCAACTAATACTTTAAGGTATCTCCAGATAAAAGAGAACCTAGAACTTTTCAAACAACTAAGAATAGCCAGAAAGACTTAACATTGGCTTCAGATTATTTTAATACTTCCTGATCATATAACGGATGTCCGGGAAGGCAGCACCTGGATGTTCGAATTTATAGATTGCTATAAGTCTTATTTGTGCTTTCCTAAACCACAAAGTTACATAATAACAACATGATTAGATGCTGAACTTTTCTAGAATTCAATTTTATGAGGAGCAGGACAATTGATTTTGATGGTTCAAATTAGAATTTGGCGCACAAAAAAACACAGCCTCTCTATCTGAACTCCTAATTTATATTCTAGAAGGAAAGGATTGCCAGTTTCCAAACTTTACAGGTAAAGCCTTTAATTCAAATGCACACCATCTCTATTTTGAAAATTTGAAAATCTGGTGGCATGACAGCGACAAAACCAAACATCCTGGCTTTTAAATAAAGTGATCAGATTTTTAATCCAACTTTGTTTATTGGTTTATAATTTATTTACTGCTATAATTCAATTGTAAAATCGAAAATTAAAACAATGTTTTTGCCTAGTCTACTGTATTTATTGTAAAATCTAAATTAGTATGGGTTTAACATCACCCTTAGCCCAAAACACCAGGCCTAGCAGGGCAAACATCCATCAACTACACAAACCAGTTCTGAGAATAAACATTATTGTGAAAACACAGTCCCTAAAATTTTAAATGTCAAAGTGCATGGAATATATTGGTACAAAACCCCCACCATAATATGCTATTATTTTAATGCTATTTAAATTAATAAAACATTCCACACAAACTACCTCATAGGTTGCTTTCTCTATTCTTGGTAGAAGGCAATAATAAGAAGAGTTTTTAAGATGGGATACCTTATTTCTAAATCCTTTATCATGAATGAATCAAGGAATCTGCACGATAATGTGTTACAAAATAGATTGACAGATTCAAAATAGTGCAAGAGTATTCAGTGGATCCTTTTCTGTTGGTGTATCATTTTTTCAATAAAATTAATAATGAACTTTGTAGAATTAATAGTTTATTGTTTTAGTTTTAGTTTAATTGAGATTCCTACTGTTCAAAGACAAGGGGAAAAGGCACTACCTTTCTGAATCATTTCGACTAGTGATACTTTCCATGATAAGCTCAATGTCATAACCCACAAGCAGGAGAACTTTACAAACCATCATGTATGAAAGCAGCCAACGTTTCACTGAATAATTGCCTTAACCACGTACTTCAATAGCATTTTCTGCTTTATCGAGAAATATTAAGTGTATGGTTGAATTTAAATTATGTGGGAGTATAGCAGTTCATGTAAGCAGCACTGAATTTGTTTAATATGTACAAAGAACTCCTGTCCAAACTCCACTTTCAAAATTTCTCCATTTACTACCATACCTAGAAGTTTCTGAGTCTAAGTGATTTATCTTTAGATATGTTTGAGTAACTTCCTCTTAAATCGTTTTGTATACAGGGACAGGATTCACAGGTTTGACATATGACTAAGTCAGAGCAAGCACAGCTGTCATTGAAATCCAGAACACCAAGTCCTGGATGAATGTTTTATATGGACGTGCAGTGAAAGAGTAACTCATTGCATTTTGGCGAAAACACAGTTGCGTTAAATGTTATTGACCTTGCAGAACAAAAAGAAGAAGCAGAAATGTCAAGATTTCTACCATAATTCCAAAGGCGAAATAGGCAACTTCTCAGTGAAATAGGACTTGAGGTCACTAGCAAAAACTGACAAGTGAGGAGTGAGTAGAGGACCCAAAGGAAGTGGTCCCATTCAGGAAGATGAGAGAAGGAGTGGACCAGAGAATATAGAAGGACTAGATGGGCCGTGCTGAGGGCTCAACTGGGGCTGGGGACTGCACCTTTATAGTGGCCCTGATCTGCACCATTGTTTCACTTTACCCAACAATACTATATGAACATAGGAGCATCAGGGACAGCTGGTTGGATTAGAGCTTTCCAGGGTCAGTGCAGCTAATGGGCTAGAGAGTAAGGGAGTTGAGCTTATATGGCAACATACCAGGCAGTCTAGGTTGAATAATGAAGAAAGTGAAATGAGCACATTTAAGGCCTGGAAGAGAATGTTAAGATCAAGTTCTTTTTCCTGGTCTTCAGTGTCTTTCTGTGTGTCCTTAGGGAGACCATGTAGTCTTTATAATCCTCAGTTTCTTCCTAAAATGAAGTGCCTACTGGTGCTCAACACATAATCTTATGTACTGTGATTGTCAATGATCAGTGAAATGATCACTCCTGGACCACAGGCATATTTTAAATGGGTCCCTATGAGATCATGTCCTACTCAAATGAATGCCCCCAGAAGAGACAATTTCAGAAATTCTAACAGGCTAAGCCAGAACTCATACCTGCCTATGCCCAGGGCCGTTCCTAAAGGCAAAGACCAAGACTGTGATCTGAGACAAGGAATTAAAGATACAGCATTAAGTGATTACTGAGATTATCAACAAATCTTGCAAGTTCCAACGACATCATTATAAAAAATAACATATTTCATTACATCACCAGTAGAATAAATGTGTCAGTTTCTAAGAGATGCCAAATAATGACCAACACTGAGTATCCTCTTTCTTTGGGGGATTTTAAAAATTTCCAACACCGAAGCATTTTCTCATACTGAAAAAACAATACTATGTTCATGACTTTAGAAAAATGTGAATATGTTCCAAATCTGAAACCTAATTTAACTAAAAAAGAAAGGAGCAATTACACCTGACTTCTTTGTTTACTCCATTCTTTGGTCATGTTAATCAGCAACTATTCAATGAGAAGTTGGTATGTCAATGGCCTGTGCAAGAGCCCATAAAAAGGGTAATATGTCCTTCTCTTCAAGAAGCTGGTATTCAAGTCAAGTTACTCTTTTGGTCCAGAAGAGCGTTGTGCTCATTTTCATGTATTTGTTATTCCTGTGGTCCTTGGATTGAGGGAAGAAATAGTGCCCTAGCTTAAACAGGCTCTGACTGAGATGAAAGCTGGGTAGTAGAATGAAAGTAAACAAGAGACAGTCTGCTGAGCCAACAAATATCATTAAATATAACCATGTGAGCGTGTCAGTAAAAATTTGAAAGCAGATTTGTTTGGACAATTTTGGAATATAGGCAAAGTGGATGTAACCAACCATATTCTGCCTATAGAAATTGATATTGATGTAAATCTTATTTTTTCCCCCGTCTGTAACCAGTACTATGCTGAAGACATGGTATAACTTAGAGTTAAAAGATAGGAACTTTAAACCAACCTTAACCTTGAAGTTCAGCTCTATCACTTCCTACTTTTGCTGTGTTTAGACAAGTTATTTAACCATTCTTAGCTCCATTCCTCATCTCCAGATGAGAATGATAATAATATCTGCCTTTATGTTTGTTGTGGTAAATGAGATAATGAATGAAAATTATAACGTGTGACCCATAGCAGGTTCTTAATCAATTTTAGACGCCAAAATTGCTAAAAACAGAGGCAAACATCACACAAGACTCTCGTGCCACTGAACATCATGGGAAGGTGTCAACAAGATACTTAGTAACACCTCGTGTATTTCTCCACATCCATTTTGTCAAGACATTCTAAGATTTCCTCCCTTGATCTTAACTGATCTCAACAGAGTTTGTGTCACCTCATTGGAAAAGTAATATTAATAGTATTAATATTAATTATTTAATACTATTAATACTCTGTCACTTCTGCATCTGTGTATTAAGTAAGAAGAAACTAATGAACAAAGTTTATTTTTTAAATAAAAATAATACAGGGTGA